CATGTGATTTTCACATCTTTGGAGACCTGAAGAGAGACATTTGTGGACATCGGTTTGCATCGGACGAAGACGTGTGTGGTTGGGTACAGATGCGGTTCCGCAGACAGCCCACAAGCTTTTTCAAGGAGGGGACTGACCGTCTTATCTCAAAGTGGGGTAAATACATTAACAGTTTTGGAGATTACTTTTGAGGTAAGAAATGTTCTTTAATATGTTTTGGCTTCTGACCCGTTTTCATTTGACTGCCCCTCACATTTTACACGAACTTTGGTATCAGAGTTATGTCATTGGTTGCTACCTCTATTTCGTGATTTTTGATTTCCCACAATTAGTAATAGCAACGTGAAGAACGTACAAACTTGTGAGGTGGGAGCAGTACTAACCCAGTTATCGAAATGCGATAACAACGACAAGCACAGGCACAGTGCGAATGACAGGAAGTTATGGGGAGAACTAATCACCTACTGTCTTTTGAAATGATACGGAGAGCATAGAAAACAACTCATCCAACAATTCTTCGTTGCCGCGGGAACGTCTTTACCGAATTGTTACCCAGCATAATGTTACAGTTCAGCATCCTGCTGCCCTGTATAGGTCTGACTTAGGAGTTTTCGTGCCGTCTAAGTGCAACGCCCTTCACCATTATGTCTTCCTATACCTTTACTGGACACTACTGGAAAGAAAACAGTATTACAGCGAGCAGCAGAATCCTTTACCATAACAACCTGAACACCTGAAGATGCCCAGTTAGGCCGAAACATGTAGTGTCCAGTAAAGATATACGAAGAAATAATGTTGAATGACATTGCAATTAGACGCCTCAAAAACTCCTAAGTTCTTTTTTTTAATTAGCTTAGTTCGGGGTGGAGTCCAACTGGGTCCACTCGGCACGGCGGCCACTGATTGGCCTATTGTAGACTGCCCCGGGTGATTATGATGATTGAGAATTTGGTGGAAAGAACATTGGCAAGGGAAACCGAAGTACTCGGAGAAACCCCGCCCCAGCACCACTTTGTCCACCACAAATCCCACTTGACCAGAACCGGGATCGAACCCGGGCCGCAGTGGTGGGAAGCCAGCGACTAACCGCTTGAGATATGGCGCGGCCTAACTCCTACGTTACCTAGCAACTGTAGGGGGATACGAAGACAAACCCGCATACACACTTCTAACAATTCTTCTCTTTTGGGGAGTATTCTTTGCCGTGGGAACGTGTTTATAGAGCCGTTGAACAGCAATGAAATGAAGGGTACTCACCTTCAGCTAGTGCCGAGGCCAAGAATATGTGGAGCTATACATCCACTCCTCCATATGCCTTCATGGCATAGTACTTAATAGTTAAGCACAGGGACATCATCTATTTTTCCTTGGCACTACAGCCCCAGTGGGCCTAGGCCTACCTCCATGAACTTCTCCGTTCACTTCGGTTTTTCTAGAATCTAGAAAAACCGGGGAACTTTTTTACTTATTACCCCAAAATATATTTATTTAAGCCGACGTTACCCCCTTGACTTGAAAGAGAGAAAATCATACATTATTCAGATTCAAAAGGTTTATTGAATCTATTTATATGGAGAATACAATTATAAATATGAAAGTATAAAATGAATGCGATAAAATACGAGTAGATTCATATCCTCATTATGAAACAAAAGGATTTCTTATATTTTTTTTTCACCTCAGGTTTTGGGGAAATGATGTTGTTTCATTTTTGATACAATAACATCAAAATTAGGACATTTTGATGTCAGAGCAATTTGCATACTGTCTTCGGGGTCCAATCGATTTCTCTGCTTTGTTTTTATGTTCAGTGGAGTGGAAAATCCTTGTTCGCAAAGGTAGGTTGTTGCAAAGGGCAGCAACTTTTTGACTGCTTCCTCATGTGCAATTTTGAAAGCATTTGCAGCTCTTGACATCCAAAAATATGACAGATCTGCTTTGTTTTCAAATTCAATACGTGCTTCATTATTGGATCGAAGTTCAAGAAGTGCCTCTGCCAAACCTTGAGGCACTTCTGGTACATCAGCAATTTCACATTTAAAGGGATCTGCAACCCAACTGACATTATGTGAATCAAGATCTGGAAAGTAATCATCGAACCGCTTTTTGAGTTTGGTAAGATGCCTTATAACTGTGTCCTTGATGTCG